GCTTTTTTCAGGACTGGGAATGAATATCTGAATAATTTAAATTAAAACACCTCCTCTTTGCTGATTGGCCAAATCTTGATCCATCAATTTAAATTAATAATTTTATTCCCCATTCCTTTTATAGTTCAAATCAGAAAACAGAGATTTTTTTTCACTAGCATACCAAACTTGTAAGTAATGAAAACGTAATGGGATAATTTCATGTGCAGCCCTGAAAGTAAGCTAGCGTTTCTAACCTTTTGTATATCTAACTTTTAATAGAGAATCCAATGTCAGAGAACAAAAGTGCTGAGGTTTATTAAAATGCACCTATTGTGACAGTGCGGTTCTTGGATGGTGTGTCTTGAATCAGAAACTGCTTTGAAGTGATTCATAATATTTAAGAGGAACATGCAGTGAAGAACACTGGCTATATTCCTTTGATGTATGTTCACTTTTGAAGCAAGAATGTTCTCCCTCTTTTTCCCCTGAGCAAGCTGCATGTAGGTATTCCTTTTGAGAACATGATGTATCAGAGATGCACCTTCTCTTCTGTGTAAATACATGTCTAATAAAATATGTCATTAAAACAGTTTTGCCATTTAAAAAAACCAGGTCTACACAAGTTCTTGGAATTCTTCTGCTAGATTAATAACTTTAGGCTTTTAACTTTCATGTATGAATGTCTTGAGTTGTACAGTTCAGGAATCCTATCCCTTTCAGGAACGCTGTACCCATTTTCAGCAACTACATTGTGATTCTTGCCTAGTTATTATATTTCAGATGACAGAGTCTCACTGAGAGGAATTGAAGGTAATAACAATGCAGCTTCTTCATGTACTTTTTGCTTTGAGAATTCATTGCAGAAGTATTGGCTAGAGCTGTGCCTATCTTGAGCTGATAACCTGTCAGACAAAGGATGGATTACTGGATAGAAAAGACCAACTAAGTAACTGTCATGCATCAAGATTGTTTTAGACCATTTTTGTACATGACAGTGTCATCTTTCCTTCCATCCAAATAACACGGCTGACAAATGGGCTATCATTAGCAACAAAAAAGGTCTTCCCAGGGAGGCAGAAAATACCAAGACTTATAAATACAAAATTTAAAATGCATGGCCCACAACAGTCTGTAAACGGGGAAGGGAATTTAGTTCATTCAATACTATAAAATTAGGCCAAAAATGTGGCATCTGCTTATACCCTAGTCACTGAATAAGTTTCTACAGGAGAAAAAAAGAGAGTTATAACAGCTGGTTGGTTTTATCCATAATGCAATTAGCTCATACATTTGCAGAATAAAGAAAGAAGGTGACTCCATGTTAATTCCATACAGAGATACCTTTGGTTATGTTTTCATTTGCCTTTAAAATCAGTTTATCTTGAGTTTTGCAGCAATAAAAATCTTTATATAAGAGAGAACAAAGTTACAAGTTTAAAAAAACAGGTTTGCATAAAATGTAAAGAGGTAAAAGGTGACTTACAGCCTAGCCCTATCATAAATTAGAGGTTGAATGTTACTGGAGCGGATTGTAGAAGAAATCCATTAGGTGAATTGTTGGAAGAGAGTGAAGCGTATACATGTAAGGAAGCTTTGAGCTTCATTGCATTGTTCAAACTAAGTATAGTTCAAAGCCTGACACGTCAATTTTGAAGCTGGGGTTTTTTGTGTATGGAGGAATCTCATTTCCTTTCTCTCCAACTCAGCATATTCTGTTTGGGGTTGCATCTTTCAAGGTCATAGCCTGACAACAGCTAATTGATTCTTCTCTGAACTGGAGGCAGAAAGAGAACATTCCTAGCAATTGTCTCTGTTAATATTAGTTTCAAGCAATTGTCTACCTTTTAGTAGCTAACATTTTGTCAACATATCAGTAGGAACATAAATTTTCTTTATCTTTCTGATTTTGAAATAAATCTCATATTTCTTCTCCTGAAGCAGGACTTTTTTTTAAAAAAATTACACATTCATAAGCATGGCATTGTTCACATATCAATAGAATCTGTCATATTTTGCTATAATTACATTAGTAATCCTATGTTGGCGTCATGAATACTAAACATATAAGAGATAGAAATATACTTTTCTCACCACTGTATAAAAGCAGCACAATTACTGTAGTAGCTATGTTTGGATTATAGTAAATGTTTCTGTAATATTATACATACATTGTACATTATAAATATTTTTGTTGCTACTGTGCTAGAGAAGTAAAGGCTTTTTATTTTTTGTTTAAACACACTTTTAACTGCAAGAGGAAGATTCTATGCTGCATTTTTCAGCAGAGATCATTCTTATTGTCCTCTAATGGCCAAAAAAATAAGGTGACCATTCCTGACTGGGTTCATTACCTATATTTTTTTCTATTTATTGTTAATTCCTTGTATGTAGATAATAGATGAGACAAAAATGTTTAGAAGCATAAAGTGAAAGAGTCTGCATTCCTGAAAGCCACAAGGAACAACTCAGAGCATCCTTAATACCTAATCAACAGTAGAACATTATGAGGCTTTTTAAAACGGTGGATTTAGACCTATTTAAAGAAAATCCTAGCTGAATCTAAGCTTGCATACTTTGGAGAATAGTAACTGCTTCTCAAGCAGCCCTTTATAAAGGCTGTTTCCGGACTACAACAGCAATATAACATCCTAAATAAAAAGCACAATTTAAACAGTTTAGATAAGATTCTTGAATATAACTAATTTATGGAGACAATATTCACCTTGCAGATTTTTTTCATTCACGTGCAAACTTAAAAAGGCATTCTCAATAAATATGAGTGCTCTTGTAATTTTTAATTAAAATGGATTCCCTAAAAGGTATATTGCATTTCAAACAATTTTTTTTAAAAAATAAAGAATGTTTTTCAATGGATTCTGAATGAAAAAAGTATGAGAGAAATGATGGGAAAGATTACCATTGTTGCTTTTCCTGTTTGATCATGCAATGTATATCTTTGTAGGTGATTCCAAAATTACTCAGTCAAGTGGACTTGTTAGAACCTAAGTAGAATATGATTGCATTATTTATTCAAAAAATGTTGAATAAATGAGAAAAAAAGTCAAATCAAATTAAAAATTGATAGTCCAAGACAATTGTGCATGATTCCATAGATTTCTGTTCTTTCTTATTCTTTTTTTTAAAAAATTCTTTATCACAATTTCTCTAACTCCAATAATTTCAGAAGTTATGATTGAACTTTGAAAGAAACTCACTTGTATTGTACAAATGTAGTGTACTTCAAACTACCTGTTGCCGCTTCCTAAAGACAAAAGAATTGAGCCATTTGATTTTGATAGCCTGAGCTGTAGAATTTACTTTCCCATTTGAATGTAAAATTACTACATAATTAGTCCTAATCCTTAACTAGGGTAACCTTTTCATATAATATCCATTTATGTCAATATCTGCGTCAGCACTTTATTTTACCAGAAGACATTATTTGATAGTTCCATGAATTGCAAGTCATATAAGCAAATCAAATTCCTAAATGCAGACTCATCTTTTACTTTATCTTGGTTATTAGCAAAACAAGAATGAATTCCTTTTTCTTCCTGGACTTGCACTTCTACTACAATTTGTTTTTGGCAAGCCCATTCCATAATTTAATTATGTTTGTTTAGAGGCAAATAAGGTAGTACAAAATCAGATCTGTACAGGCTTGTGATCAGATCACCCAACATAAACTGATCTGTTCATAAGAGACCAACCTTATTGCTTCTAGGCAGGGAAGCTGAAAGAAAAAAAAACAACTAGCTTAAAGGGAACAATTTACATATGAATGTAGTTTAATTCCCAGATACCGATGCAAAAAGAAAAAGAATAACTTTTTTTATGGGGGGAGCAATCTTATACTGCAGTCGGTTTCAATTTTTCCTTCAATGCCATGTCTTTCCCCCCCCCACCCAAATCTTTGCTTCCAATGTTAATGTTCTCACCTTATGTACTTTAACTCATTCCTCATTTTTCATTCATATTTGTTTTCTATTTCGTGTGCTGTTTAATAAGTATGATGATTTGAAAGAGCAAAATTGTAAAATTAAAAGAATTTTTATATCCAGACAAAATTCATCTTCTGTCTGGGCTTTTTTTTTTTTTCCCCAGAAATTTGAAGCTTGGGTCTAATGACTTTCCTACCACATTATTTAATAAACTTTCCAGGTGAATCTCACACATTTTAAAAGATTATTAATTTTTTTAATTAGCTCTCTATATGATGGTGGGCAACTTTTTGTCCTCAGTGATTGCAATATTCCAAATAATCAAGAGATTCAGGGAGCAAACTAGTGATGAAACAACCTCATCACAGGCCACAGATTGAAGATTTAGATAAGAAATTTTAAAAAGCAGACTTGGAGACCACAGGTTGCCCAACTTTGTATTACACAAAATGTGTTGTTTCCTATCAAACCCAAACAGTATGACTCCATTGCTAGAAATAAGTTCAAAAGATGAACAAAATTATTATTTAACTAACATTTTTAAAGAAATTGAAAGGACATGGTTGGTTAAAAGTGCAATGGGTTAAATTTTGGGTTAAATTATTTTCTTTCTAAAAGAAAAAATAATTTTCTTTCTATTTTCCTAACCTATCCTCTAAGCAGTTTCTCATAGCCAAGTAGACATACTGTGCAGCAGTATTTAAGATTACTTGAAGTTTGAAGCTTCATCCAAAAGCAATCCCTGCTTTCCCCCCCAATCCTTAATGCTACCTCTTTCTACATCACAAGCATGAATTTTTATATACATTTAAACATGCAGCATCAATGTAACTTACTGTGCATTACAATTTGATTAATAGCTTTGGCTTCTAAAATGAATTAGTAGAGTACTTGAAACTAAAAGATATACCAAGAATTCGTATGTTATATGAAAAATAATAAATATATTTTTATGGCAGAATTGTCAAGCAGATCCAAAACACCTTTCTCAGCATTTTTTTTATCATAATAGCATCAGTTACATGGAGAAAGTGATAAAAGTAATTAATTGGAGTCCTAAAATCTGCAAAAGGTCACCTTTCTCCCTGTCAAATTGTGTAGCACTTAATTTCTAAATCGAATGCCCTTGTTCAGTGTCCCCAGCCTTTGAGCTGAGTCATGTGATTTCTAAAAATCTAGCCATATGAGATTACTTTCCCCAGTATTTATACCTGGGGCTGTCTTTATTATTATTTTTTTTCAGTATTTAGGAAAGCTCCATGATTCCTCAAATGGCATGTGATCTGCCTTTCTATATATTTGGTCCTGCTATTTCTGACTTCAGGATCTTGTTGATTCTGGTTTTGTTTGCACATTTTATTGATTGTATTATGCCTAGCTTTATTATTTTTGCTGTTTTCTAGATGTTGCTTTATTATTCTATAAGACGGCTAGTTTAAATTTAGAGAAGGTAGATATTAACAATAATATTTATAAAATATTGCTGTCTGCCCATTCTACCCATCCTTGACTTCTGTGGCTAAGCAAGATGGCTGTTAAGTGACTTTTGCCACCACCACCCTTCTATGACCTGTTTTGCCACAGTTCTTAAGAGAATCACTGGAATTGTTAAATTAATAACATGGTTGTTAAGTCAATTTGGTTTTCCCATTCACTTTGCATGCCAGAAGGTCACAAGATGTTGATCCTGGGCCACTGCAACCATAATAAATATGAGCCAGTTGCCAAGCACCTGAATTTTGATCACATGACCATGGGGATGCTGCAACAGTCGTAAATGTGAATAAGTCATTTTTTTCTATGCTGTTTTAACTTTGAACGGTTCACTAAACAAAAAGTGGTAAGTCAAGGACTTCCTGTATTCTCATCCCTGTCCTCCCACTTCAGTTTTATCTGAGTCCTCTTTTCACATTCTAGTGGCTCTTACTCAAAATCTCATATGCTGCTACTGTCATTGATAATAATAATTAGACAGATATTAAATACGTTTCTTTCAGCAGATCAGAGTGATTTAGATGAATAGCTTAGGTGCTTTAAAAGGGAAACAGCTTCCTCATCAGTTCCCCATACTTTTTTTTGTCAAAGAATTTCTTAAGATCTTTACACAAAATTTGAGAATGAAACTCTTTTTTATTTCATACGGTGTAAAAGAATATATCATTACTGCATAAAATGTATAATAACAACAGGTATCAAAATATAAAGCACCAATACAATGAATTATTTTAAAAACATAAAATACAAATGATGAATAAATTATGAATAAAATTTATAATTTCTTTTTAACAGATTTTGCCCTTATTGCTATTGGCTGGTTTTAAAAAACAAACAGAAGCCAATGAATGTAACTGATCAAAGTATAATCTTTACAATTAGCCGATAAAATCAGCCAGTTATTATTCATTTGATACATGTATTATTATTATTATTCATTTGATAATAAAGGTTCTCCCCCTTATTCTGCTATCTATCTGGCAGTCCTACTCCCTCAAAAGAGATAACCCAATCATAAATATACAAAATATATAAATTATTTTGATAAAATACCTTATGATTTGATGAGGTATGTTATAATAAAAATACATAAATATATATAATCCAGATTAGACAACTAGATTTTCTAATTCAATTTAAAATTTACAGCAGCCAAATCACTTTGGTTTAGAATTTCTAAAACAAGTAACATTTCACTAAGCTAAAATGACAACTGTGGAAAATAATTTAACTGTTCTGCACTGACAGTTTAGGCATGAAGTCAAAATGCTAATAGATTATATCACTCTGCAAGAATCAGAAAAATAAATGAATTTAACTATATATACAGTATACACCATAGCCATAGAAAAACCTCAACTTATCTCCCACATTTCAATGATGGGATTCAATCTCTCAAGCGTGCCCATGTGCTTAACAAATTTTAATATTAGTGTTTTCACAACCATATAATAAACTCAACACATTAGCAAAAGTAAGCAAAAGTGTCACACACATATACAAAATTGTGTAATATTGCTGCATTTGTCCTTTGAAGATTGAAAATATTCAGTTTGTGAATTAGTCAATATGTTTAAGAACAAGAGTGAAAACAAAAGTCAGGAGTTGTGCACAATTGTTGGCAATAAGACATTTTTCCTTCCAAGAGGTTATGGCTCAAGTTGCTGTGTAGTAGAGCATTTGTTCTGCAGTGTGCAGTTCAAAAGATATAAATGGAACCTTTTTTATCATTTGCACTCTTGCTAATGGAAATGCAATAGATTTTGTTGCAGAAACCTAACTCTGAATCAATATTGATGCAATGCAATGAAGCAGCTGGTTCAGCAATGAAGCATCTTTAATATAGAACCTGGATTGTAGCTAAGCAGTTTTGGAGGCCATGGCCAGTTTGGTGTAACAGAATACAACTGAAGAAGACATGCCCATTGTGTTTTCTTCAAGAAGACCGCAATGATATACTGGCTATCAGTGGGGCACCAAGACTCTTCCTTGTTCTATTAATCATCAAGACTTTGCCCGAAGATAAATTTTTGGTATCATACCCCTTGTCTAGTTCCTAAGAGTTTTGGTCTCCAATTATTTTTATAATATATCCAGGAATAGGCATAGCCATAGGAACGATTAAATTTGAGGTAGAATATCTGATTAAGGCAGAACTGAGGCATTTTATGGCCCCCATTGGCTATCCGTGTCCAGCCTCATGAAATCAACCAGGATTCAGAAATCAAATGTAAATAAGCGCACTGCAGGGGGCAGGAAGAGAAGTTGGGTCCACTCTGCGCACTCACCATGCACTCCTTCAGGCAGCCACAGGAGGACAAGTAAGGAGAGATATACTTTTTTCTGCCTGTATAGCACTCACTCTTGCCTGGAGCAGCCTAAGGACCTTTGGCAGCAGCCAAAAACACTAATACAATCCACGATTGTATAAACAGAGGCATAGAATCAAATTCATGTGAGGTATTAGTACCGCTTTATAAATTCTTAGAACACACCTGGGAATACTGTATCCAGTTTTGGTCACCACTTTAAAAAAAAAAAAAGATGTTGAGACTTTGGAAAAAGTACAAACGAGCAACTAAGATTATTAAAGACCTGGAGACAATATATATATATGAAGAATTGGATATGGCGAGCTTAGAGAAAAAAAGGACTAGGGAGGGCATGATAGCAGTATTCTAGTATTTGAGGGGCTGCCACAAAGAAAAGGGGGTCAACTTATTTTCCAAAGCACCAGAAGGAAAGACAGGTAACAATGGATGGAAACCAATCAGAAAAAAAGCAGCCTGTAATTATGGATAAAATTCCTAACAGTGAGGACAATGAACTAGTGGAACAGTTTGCCTTCAGAGGTTGTAGGTTGTTGTGTCTTCATCACTGGAGGTTTTTAAGAAAAGACTGGGCAACCACCTATCTGAAATGGTATGGGGTGTCCCAGGGGTGGGCTTCAAAAATTTTAGCAACCGGTTCTCTGCCCGGTTGCTGGGTGGGCATGGCCATGGTGGGTGTGGCCTAGTTAGCCTCCTGCACCATGGCAGGGGGGCTGTTTCACCCTCCCGGGCTCTGGAGGCTTTCCTTGAGGCTCCGGGAGGGTGAAAACAGCCTCCCCAAGCTCTGGAGGCCAGAAACGGGCCTGTTTCTGGCCTTCCAGAACTTCCAGGAGGCCCATTTGCCACCCTCCCCAGGCTGATAATTGATGTGCCATCTTGTGATCTGATCCTTACAAATGTTAGTTCATTTACCTTTGGTTTGTTTGGATTGATTGTGTGCCATTCAGTTGTTTTTAGTTCCTAGTGTCCTCATAGATAGATTTTTTTTGTTCATGACAATCTATTCCTAAACCTGTTATTTCAGGTCTTCCAATGGTTCATGCATTGTCACTATAATCAACTCCTTCCACCTTTACTGTTTGTCATTCTCTTCTCTTTCCTTCCACTTTCCCCAGCATTACAGCCTTTTTGTAGAGAACTGGGCCTTTGTATAATGTGACCAAGGTACAATAAATTGTGATTTTTGCCTCAAATGACAATTTTTAATCAATTTGTTTCCCTGACTGTCCAAGGTATTCTCAGGAGTCTTCTCCAAGAGGCATCAATACTCTTCCTTTCTTGCTTATTTAAACAGGTTTACATAATTCTGTTCTTTGTAAGTATAGACACATCACAGTATTTGAATAACTGGCTCAAGGCCTTCATGGCTGCTTTACCAATTGTTAATCCATGGATATTTCTTGATCTCTTGTTCCCTATTGTTCTCTTCCATTCCTACACTGGTACTGAATCAGTGGATTGTGGAGACTCTTTGAGATGAATATATTTTTGTTCAGAATATATAGAGATGTTTGCCCAGAATCTTTTCACAGATGTTCTAATGCCATCTCAATCAGCATCTGTGCCTTTGTGTGTGAGTCCCTGCTAAACTGCATGTCTTAATACTTTCTAATTGTGCCCTACATTATACTCTGATTCCAGTATTGCTTAAATGTCTTGAAATGAGAAGTTCAGTGGGGGGGAGGGGTTTCTCCAAATCATTCTCACACAATGTTGTCCCTATCCACCTTTTTTCCCCTTTGATAGTTTTTTATTTCAAGTGCATACAATTCAAAGAACTCGTTATATCCTATTATCTCCCGATGATTGACCACACAAAACAACCATATCTTCATAGCAATACATTCATTCATTCATTCATGCAATTTCTGTAGCCACCTGTCGCAGTCTATGATTATGGGTGGCTTACAATTCAATTACTGAAATATTTTCAGGCACTTTTTTTCCTGTCTCCACTGCCCATCAAACTTTGCTTATACTTTATTATTTTCGCTTATACTTTCCAAGCCATGTCACAAAAGTATCCAGAAACTATATCCATAACTTATCATTACACTTTAGATGTTTCTAGCAGAATTGATTACAGATAGTCCTCAACTTATGATCATTTAAAATTATAATAGACCTCTCAAATCTACTTATGACACAGTTTCAGAGTTCCCAATGTCCACATTCCTCCTGCATTTATGTGACCACATTTGGGGTACTTGACAATGGGCCCATATTTATAGCCATTTACAGCATCTCGCAGTCACATGACCACAATTTGTGACATTTTTGCAAAAAAAAAACAAACTCCTAGCATTTACTTCCAGTATTTGGGGGGGAAAACCCATACTGAACAGTGGGATTAATGAACAGCCACCGGGTTCACTTAACAACTGTCACATTTGCTTTATGGAAGCTGCAAAAAAAAAGTTCTTAAATGCTTTAAAATGCTCCTTCTTTATGACTCTGACAACCTACAGCCATAGAAGGCAGTGTCCATTATGACTGTAAGTCGAGGACTACCTATACAGCACTACGTAATATGAGCTTCATTACAACAGAGGTCAAATGCAGCTTTGGTGGCTGACATTGGATGTTTGAAGTATCAGTGCTACATTACTCAAATGGACTGGTACCAAGCTGAATAATAAAGGAGAATAATTTACATGCAGTATATATCATGCAACTATAGTATCTAAAAATGATTTTATGTTAACATTTATCTGAACAGCTCTTCCTTGCAATGGGAGCCAGTAAATTTTAATTCATTATTTCAAAACCTCTGACTAAATTAAAACTATATTTTGCAGTGTGGTCTCTATTTTCTATTTACCTGTCTCCGGAGTGAGATTCTCTTCCTTTTATTTGGCAGGGACTTTTAAAATCAATTCTCTCTCTCTCTCTCCCTGTTTCTATTTATGTTTAATTTATTGTTATTTGTACAAAAGCCGTGTCGCTAGCTTAGCAAACTTATTTTCATGAAAATATAAAAGCAGTTAGTATAGGCTTTGTGTAGTGTTGCCAGATATGCAGGCTTTAATTTTAATTTATCTAGAAACCAGAGAGGCCTGGTTTCCAGGGGGAGGAATAAATCGTGAATGATGTACACTTAGCTTGATTACTTGGTTAAAAAGCTAAAAGGGTAATGATATGTTATAAACTTATCAGAGGCACAGGATGAAGTCAGGCTTTCTGTTGAAAATAATAATCTGGTTATTAATTGAAACAAATAGTCTGAAATAATCTAATAAATGCTTCTAGAATATTATTTATGATTTTGAACACTAGGATTGCAATTACTAGACAGGTTTTCCATAACATCCAGACTACAATATTCTAAGCATATTTTAGCTGTTGCCATCACATAATGTTATTTAAACATATACTTCTATCCTTGCAATTTTCATGAAATT